CCGTATATTTATATATAAAATTTTACAAAAACTTTAATATTTTTTGATCCAGTAATCCAATTTGAATAATTTTGGTACCGTTGGATTCCTCTTGATAAGAGAAATCCAATGATACCAAAATCATTCAAATTGGATCACTAATATTAGTAAAAAATTATTAATTATATAGTAATTTATATAATCAATAGTTTTTTGTCAATATCTTTTGATCCTGTGATTCAATTTGAATGATTTTGGTACCATTGGATTCCTCTCAGCGAGAGGAATCCAATGGTACCAAAATTATTCAAATTTGACCACTAGGTCACGAGATATTGATAGTTTTGTAAAAAAATAAATATACAGTATTAAACTAAATTGAATTAAAATTTTGCAATTTGAAAATTAAATCTGTCAAAAGAAAAAATTTAGCAATTTTAAAAAAATTAATATATATAAAATTATATTCTGAACAACTTTCAATTAGAAAGTAAAAAGGTTATCTTAGTAAAAAAAAGTTTGCTATATACTAATATAGTTTATACAAAATACGTTTATTCTAAGACCTGATCTTAAATTTTGATTAGTCAAAATTACCAGTGATCTTTACCTAAAATAGAAATTTGTGTTGTGAAATAATTAACATTGATAAACGTTTTGATTGTTTTGATTATATTCTCTAGTGTTATTAGTTTATTTGTTAACTATTTGTTTATTTTCTGATTTTTATAATGTTTTTTGTAAGTTGTCAAGACAAAAAAGGTTATAAGAAAGATACCATTGTAAATAAGCATGACAAAACTACTGTATACAAGAATGTCAAAACTATTGTAAATAAAAACAACAAACGGGATCAGGTAGATATTTTATATTATTAGGCAAGCATCTTTTCCTTTGGATTTTCTTTGTGAGATCATTTTGAACAATTTGTTTAATATAGTGAAAAGGTTGTATCATATAAAACAAATTGCAAGAATAATTTCCGTTTGCTCTATATAGTTATTTTAGTCTACAAAATTTTTGCTTTATGAGATCACTCAAGGTGATTTCTGTTTAATCTATGTAATTATTTTTTGTTTTACATAGTTATTCTGGTTCACAAAATTTTTGCTTTGTGAGATTACCCAAGGTGATTTCCGTTTAACATAGTTATTCTAGTCTACAAAGTTTTTGGTTTTGTGAGATCACCCAAGAGTAATTTTTGTTTAATTTGTGTAGTTATTTTTTTTGTTCTACATAGTTATTCTGGTCTACAAAGTGATTTGTAAGATTACCTAAGGGTTTGTATGGTCATTCTGGTTTACAAAAAATACAAGTCCAAAGATGTTTTTTCAGATATTCTATAGAATAGGTGAGAAATATAAGAAATAAGCTTTGCTAATAATTAGTAATCATTAATTTTTTAATATTGGAGTTGTAGAGTTTGCGGAGTTTGCCCATCTATTCTATAGAATATCTGTTTTTTCAGATAAGATCTACTGATTTTGAAAAATGAATTAGTTATTTTCTTATTATAAAGAAGAAATATACGTTTGCTATATACTAATAAAATATAAATATCTACTAATTATTATTTTTCTATTATGTATTTTAGAACAATAGCAATAATAAAAATGAAGAGCGAGAAAGAAGAAAAAGGATAAAACTTCAACCAATAAATGGTTTAACAGAAAATGTAAATAATAGTTCTGCTTTTTTTCTTTGTTAATATTTATTTATTACTTCTTAGTATTATAAAAAATATAGATAAACACAACCTTAAGATTAATTATAACTAATTTTATTCTTTATTTATGGTCAGGTACATGGAAAAACTGATATCTGTACACCAAATCAAACTATTATACTAACAGAAAAAGCAAGCAAAAATTTACATTATAACTTTTCACCAAAATATATAAATAAAAAACCATTACCAAACCCTTTTTTGGTGAATCAACAAGAGAAAAAATATGATTTTGAATCTGACGATAATGATAAAGAATTCAATACAAGTCTAACGATTGTTGATAGAAAAAACACTGAATGGATTGTAAATGGGATTAATATAAGAGAATGTCTCAAAGAATATCAATTAAAAAATAATCTGTCGAAAATGTGTCTAGAATATTATGATATTATATTTTTCAATTTTACTAATGAAGGATTTTTGAAGACATTGGATGAAAATATTATAACACAAATGTTTAGTGATATAAGTGAGAGTGAAATCGAAATTACTGTAGAAAATGAAGTCAAATTGTTATTAGATAGTATCATTGATCGTGATATTAAAAACACAAAAGAAAGACTCAATCAAGTAAAGGAAGAAGATACCTTTTTATTTGAAAATAAATTCGCATTGAATTTTGTAAGACACATGTAGGTTTATATTTGTTAATTTTTCTTATTTAGTCATTGATTTAAATGAAAAATTTACTAATATGAAATATAATTATATTTACAGGGTGACGCTAATGGAAGATATTAATTTATTAATTGACCCAATGTCAGAAGGCACATATATCAGTAGTGTTCTAGCACCCATTTTTGATCAATTTTTTTTAAAAAATAAAAAACAATGGCATGCATCTTATGGTGAAACTTGTCTTAAAGTGAGTGCAAAAGATAAAAATTCGCAAAAAGAAGATTCTGAACGCCGGTCGCCCGGAAAGAAAATCGATACAATTATTAAATTACGAGAAGAAAATGAAGAATTTTCTGTCATTGAAATTAGTGAACTGCCAATGAAGAATGACTGGTCGCATTATAAGGGTGATCGATTAAAGATCGGCAAAATGTTAAAAACGATAATGAATCATTTTGCAGAAATGAACCCAAGTTCCGATATTACATTAATCAAGCTTTATGGGCTTCAAACATATTGTATGGTTTGAATTCTAATATTTCATTATCTTTATTATTTTTATTATCATATATTAATAACTTTTACTATAATAGTAAATGAAATAATTATATATGAATTGCGGTTAAAATTCGCTGAAATATACACAATGAGACCAATCATAAGATTTTTTTTTCCAAAAACTTGGGCGGACATGGCAAGGATAAATCAAACTGTGATGGGATTTTTAAAATATGAGGTTTGTATGGATAATCTTTAACAGCCAGTAGATTATATAAAAATCACCAAATTAACATTTTCGGTTCTTGTATATTAGTTATTATTAACTGAAAGCATGAAAGCGATTCAAGATTTTCTATGGAATGAGGGTTCCAAGTTTGAAACATTTACAAAAATGACTACACGTATGATCCATACAGGGACACGGAAATACAGGTGACCCTCATTAATATCAACCTATTTGAATCGGTTTTAAATTATATATTAAAGTTGATATATATGAGGTAATTTTTGATATATAAAATTTTCTTGTGGCTTAGGTTAGGTTGATATTATATAAAGAGGTTTATTCGATTTATTTCGATTTGACCGGAATTAAGGAAAAAATAATGATCCCGGCTGAAATTAAAATGCAGAAGATCATAAGCCAATCATTTTATATCGCATGACCCAAATTATATACGGTAATGAAAATTTGATTTCGAAAAATTTCCACCTGATCTTACATTTTAAAAATTTATACAGTTCGAATATGTTTTGAATAACGCAATTTCTAGTAGGATTGGAACCGTTTAACCGTTTAAAAATTGCTCCATAGCTCCGGGTAGAATTATGTTGGTCGTGGGCCGGAATTATTTTAATGCCGGTCAAATTAAGCGGTTAAACGGTTAAACGATTAAACGATTAATATTAAGAAAAATTTTAGGCGGTTCCAATCCCTAATTTCTAGCATAATGGATTTTGAATAACAATTTCTAGCAAAGATGATCTACACAAATTCTGATTGGCCAAAAAATTAAAGATTAACACACGTTATTTCTAATCTAATACCTTTATAGCATTTCGTAAAATTCGTAAGACGATTAATTTTTTAATCATCTTGCTCACGTGAAATTTGAAACGTTTATTCAAAAAGAAATTTGACTTTTATTAGTTACTTCACTTTAAAAACTAAAAAAACTCATTTATAACACCGTACAATGTATTAATATTGTCAAAATGGCTTCTAATAAAAGTTGGTGAAACACTTGATCTCACTTGATATCCAACGTTTATATGAAAGTTTCTATTGTAAACTAATATAAAAACTTGTGTAACAATACTTTTTAATATAAAATAAATAGCCAATCAAAACGAACTTATTCAAGCTTTTCTTTGACTTCTTCTAAATATGGAAAACTTTCCATCGTACCATGCTTGCTAACAGCTAATCCAGCAGCCACAATTGCTTCTTTCAATGAATTCAAAAATTGCTCAGCCGTTAGTAAAATAGATGATTCAGTATCAACTGATATAAGTCCACTATTTTTTTCATTTTTCAATTGATTTCTAGCAAGGCTAGCAACAAAATAGCCAGTAAATGCATCACCAGCTCCAGTGGTATCACACAATGTTGTTTTAAATGCAGGTAAAGTATAGACTCGTTTTTCTGGGCCAAACCAAGCTACTAATCCATCACTTCCAAGAGTAATAATAATTCCAATTAATTGTGGAAATGCATTTGAAAGTGCATCCAGTAATTCTGACGATGACAATTCACTAGTGACATTAATAGTAAAAATTTGTCGATATAATTGAGTTGCTTCTAGTTTGTTGACAATTAAATAATCTACTAGATCAAATGAAAATGTTTTTGTAATATTTTCTGAAATTGGTGCTGCATTTAAAACAGTCGTCAGTCCTTTACAAAATTGCATAAATTAATGCCAAAATCTAAAATATATACTATATATACCAGTAAGTCAGTAAAAAAAATAAAAAGAAGTCTACTTACCAAGATTTTTGCAAAGTTTCAATATCTTACCACCAATAAGTCCTATTTCATTTTGAAAAACTGACCAATCACCTTTTCCAAAGCCTTGGGCTAAAACTTCTTGTGCTTCAATTTCGTTCAGCAAATAATTCGTTCCTGGTAGCAGAATTATAGCATTATCTCGTGTTTCTTGGGAAAGTTGAATGATGGCTCGTCCAGTTGGCTTGATCCAATTGATCCATATGAAAAATAAATATTGAAAAAATAGTTGAATATAAAACAAAAATAAACAATGTACCTGTTCTTTAGATATAATTATATGATCCACATTCACTAATTGATTTTCCATGTATTGTTTAATCCAAATTCCGTCATGACCAATTTTTCCAACATGCCATACCCTTGCACCTGCCTGTGTGGTAAAGGAACGCATGTTTCATGATTTTTTGTCGGCAGTAAGATAACATTGAAAATAAGGAAGGTTATAAGAACTTTTGCTATAGCTACTGATTGATTAGCGCCTAATGGTATAATTATAAAAAAAAAATTTGCATTTAATGAGTATCGAAGCGAGTATATTATCGTACGCATTAGTAATTAACCTTTTCCACCAGCTTTTTGCGTATACTTGGCACTTGTTATAGTCTCACCACTAAAGACAATGTGTGGAACATCGAAAAATTCATCCTAATAAAAATTAAGTTTTGCTTGTAATCGAAATTGCTAGCTGAAGACGCTAAAAAATATTACTAACGATATTAATAGAACCGAATACTAATATCTTAGGCTCAACCATTGTATGCACGTATGCAGTGTGCGAAATTCAATGTTCTCAATGTTCTCTGAGAACATAAAAATTTTAAGTTACACTTATGTGAGAACATAAAAAATCTTTTATATAGATGTTCTTGTGAGAACTATAATATTAAATTTGAATTTCACGTATGTTAGGGTCGGTTAAAGCGGAGCGAGGTTTAGGGTTACCTTTTTGATGCAGTTAAGGTTAGCACGTTATATAAATATCAAGAATGCAACTTATGCAGTATATAGACATTTTGTGGTTACACGGTTCAAAAAAGTCAATTTTTTTTTTTTATTCGCTTTAGACAAGCGTGAAGAGATGGTAGCAATGAAAAAAAGAAACAATATGTACACATAAATAATGAATCTCAAGATACATAAATTGCCAACAGGAATACAGTAATCATCTAAAACTAACACATAAGTAAGGGTGTTAACTCCTCAAAAAAAAAACATACAAAATCCAATTAATAAAGAAATTTATATATCATTAACGATATTATTTTGAGATGGTGTGTATACCAATATTATTAAAAGGTTTAGTAAAATAGAAATAAAAATTTTATCAGCTAAAATTTAGCGTTAATCTCATCTCAACCGGCGTTTTCATGGTCTTCTGGTATCGCGGGAACAGTATTATTGTTATGTGGTATCTTTATAAAGTCCTAAATAAAAAAAAAAACAATTGAGAAAAAAGGGAATAAAAAATACTAATCATTATATTTATGATCATTTACTTTTAAATTGAATTTGGGATCATCTTGCGTGAAAGGATTTTTTAAGAGATCTTCAGCTGTTGGCCTGAGATCTGGATTTCTGTTATTTAAAGAATTTAATTAAATACAACGAATTGAGCATGAGGATGGTGTTCATCAGTGATATCTAAATGGTCTAAGTGACAGGTTTTAACTTAGAAGATATTCAGTCACTCAATCTGACCATATTTATATCATTGATGAGTACCATCTGGCCACTTGAAAAGTAAAATTGTATATATCACTTGTACAAATTCTTACATTATAAAGCATTGGTTTAAGAAGTCCAGGGCCTTTTCTGATTTAATATTTTCACTTATTGGAGGCGATTTTTTCTCACTTCCAAGCTGAAATATTAATATTTTGGTGAGAGAAATATAACAGCTAGAAACTAAAAACCTTATAATAGTACCTTAAACATTGTAGTGACATCTGTAAATGGAGCCCAGGGTCGCTCATCAGTAAACATCTCCAGTACCACACAACCAAGACCCCTATAGATTAAAATTTAACGTATTAAGTAATAATGATTTATACTATCTATTATTGCTACTATTATTATTATTATTATTATTTACCATATATCTACTTTAGCACTGTACCCATTTGTGAAAACCTCTGGCGCCATCCAGAAGATTGTACCTTGTAATGTCATATTAGATTTGTTGTCGTAGGCCAAGGCGTCTAATAATAAATAAAGATTAATTTAAAATTTGCTAAATGACTTCAAATACACATGCGAGAACGAAATTGAAATTTCGAAAATTTAGAATTAGATTGTAGACTAAATAAAATAAAATTCTATACTAAAATTCTAATGTTATTGAGAAATCTCAGAACTACTTGGATTCCGTTCTCGCTTGTAATATACATACCACTTCTCTTTGATATTCCAAAATCAGAAATTTTACAACAACCATCTTCATCAACAAGGATATTATCCGCTTTAATATCCTGTAAAAGGTATAAAAATAAGTTTACTATTCAAGAATAATGTTTATTTATTTGGATAAAACGAAATAAAAAAATGTACACTACCCTATGCAATATTTTTTGATTATGCAGGTATTGTAAGCCTTCTAAAATCTGTCGTGTGAATGACTTTACTACTCGTTCATCAAACGGACCATTACTTCTTAAAACTGTACCGATGGATCCACCATTAACATATTCAAGAAAAATGTTAATATATTCCTCGGTTTCTTCATACCCTGTTATGACAGCCAAAGGCGAATGGCTTTAACTTCAATTTAATTGTAAAATATAAAACAATATGGCAATAAATGAAAATATTTGTACCGATATATGAAACTATGTTATCATGAGACAAGTCCTTTAAAATTTTCATTTCGTCTTTAAAAGATTTTATCTTTACATGAATAAATGAATGCGTAAGTCTTGAAACTTATATAGTAATACTGTGTATATACCATAAAAAATCCACAACATACCTGAACCTGATGACGTTCATTTCTTTTATCTGAAGGAGTTAACGGTTGCTCTATTTGCTTGACCGCCATCACTTCTGACGAGCTCAGGTTCAGCGCAATGTAAACTTTTCCGAAGTTACCTTTGCCTATTAGTCTACCTTTTGCCCATTTAACAGCTGTTATTTTAAATATGGTAAATAAATAATGTAATTCTAAAATTCGTTAAATATCTAATAATAAATAAAATATGGTAAATCAAAGCACACACGTTTTTTTTCGGTACAATCTTCGTCCGAACCGGAAATGCAAGGTGCTTTTTTACCAGTAGGTCTTTGTTCAACAACACGCTTGTCCCATAGTTTAGTAGTAGGCCTTCTACCTAATTTTCCCTCTTTTACCGCAGTGGCTTCAACTGATTTCCGATTTGTTCGTTCACGCTCTCGCGCTTCTCTAGCGACAACACGGATAGACTTTACACGTGAAACTGTTACTCCACTTTTTTCAAGAATAGCGGCGGATGCTGGCATTGTTTGTGGCAATGGCACATCACTGGGAGATGAATTTTGAGTAGATCCCTGAGCATCAACAATAGGCATATCAACATCATGATTGGGAAAATATTGCTCTATATCTTCAAAAATATCTTCTGCAGTTGGCCTCTCAATCCAGGATTCTTCAACCTTTACGCCTCTGCGCTTTGAAACTGTTCGGGCAAGTCCACCAGTATTCCGCTTTTTAGTCTGCTGTGATTGCGAGGTTATACTTTGAATTTCGTCAACTTCCTTATTATTTGGTTCGGCATTTTCAGGTAAATTGTTTTGTTCACTATTAGCAGGATTTCTGTCAATTGCTATCTGGTTATCATTTTGTTTAAGACTAGTTCGTTTATGTATTTTGGCTGATAATTCTTCATCATTTGATAAAAGCCTACCGCCATCATTATTTTTATCTGTAATTTGGTGCGAGGTATCCACAGGACTTGATACATTGGATGATCGCGGAGGATTTGTGGGTTTAGGTGGCTTAGCCCATATAGATATTTCTTCGTCAATACGTGTAGAACTACTATCTGGCAATTTTGCCCAAAGTGGTTTTTCATCGGCATTGTCCGGAAAAACTACATTACTGTTCTGTGATTGAATATCAGACTTCCTAAGTGTAAGATCAGGTTCGGATGACATTATGTGTTTATGTACATAAGGAGACTCATTTTCTGGCAATTCGTGAAGGTTCATAGATAGAGGATTTTGTAACATTGGCAAATGAGGTTGTGATTTACTGTATTTATTGGGATACTGGTTATATGGCCCAACACCATAATACTGGGATTGATTATGTGGTTGTGAAACGGTATGTGGTTTTAAAGGAATAGACATAGGTGCTTGAGGGATATGTTCTCTGCTAGTGTGACGACGAATTGCACCATTTGCTGGCTGTAAACTCGCCGGATGTCTTTGAAGCCTTGGTGATGTGCCACAATTCCAATTATAATTATAATCAATACGATTTGGTGAGTAATTTTCATTTTGAAATTCTCCTGAAGCCGTTTTGCGATGTATCTTATCATAATGGTGAACCTCATTATCTTGTAAGGTCAAATCTTGAGGAGGTGACCCAGAGACCCGATTACTAGATTGTCGTCTCCGATGATGTTTGAACCTATTCATATCCTGTGGATCTTCTGCTATCGAATTAAAATCATTTTGCAGTTGTTTTCGCTTGACCAATAATTTTAAGTTACCACGATCATCTACATTCATGCATTTTTGCATGAGATCAAGATCACTAATTGGTGGTCCTACGTTCGACATAACAATAATATCAAATGAGCTCAGGTTGGTTAATCAAACCAGGTAATTAAAGGAAGCATACCTTCTTTTTGACCGAACTCAGTCACGTGAATTGTATAATTTTCTTTTTCATTACAGTCAATCCTTAGTTGAGAGAATATTGTATCTTTTATCGAATTGATATCTTCAAGATCTGTAATTTCGGTTGCAGTAAAGGTTTTCATATTATCAGTTACTTGAATCCATCTTTGCTTTGGTGGATCAGCAGAAAAAAGTGCACTGTCATTTGACTTTAAAAATTCAAAATAATAACGTTAAATATAATTATTTTAAAATTCTATATTTATATATATATAATATATATAAAATATTAAATGAAAATACTCATACCGAGTGACTTTGCGATCTATTATGGGATGTATATTTAGTCTGTCTCCTGCTAGATTGAGGACTTATGTTTTTGTCTTCTGTCTTGCTTACTGAATGCTGTTGTACAACAGGTTGATTATGAAAATTATGTGAATGTGAAGCAGCAAAAGAATGTGACTGCTCTGGCAAATGTGACATTGATATCCCTGCCACAAATTTTAGTCCAGCCGAAATACTTGGTTGAAATTCATGTTCAGGAATAGCTGAATTTGGAGAAAGACTCTTGTTACTCTCTCTGTCCCAACCTATTGAGGATGTTCGAGGATTAATTATAGGGCTGGTAATCGGCCCCCTTTGGCTGAAATTACGTAACTCTGGAACACTAGTAGATAGTTTTAATTTATTTTGAAAGGTAGAACCATTTGGAATGTTTGGATTTGTAGGTGAAAATTGACCAATTACTGAACTAGTTGAAGACAATGGACCGGTAATGGGGCTTTGCATATTTTCGAGAGGTGGACTCCCACCTAAAGTCTGCGAATCCTATCAAAAGGAAGAAAAAACCCCCAATTAATTTTGGTTTGTAATAATTAAATTTATATTTTATGAAGAAAAAAATAATTTATTATCCCCGAACCTTCTCAGAAAACGACTGACGTTTTGGTCTGCTATCACGAAGTTTTCTAATAGCCGTTATCAATTTAGATCGACTATCAATATCCTTTATAATCTTGCTGTTCATCAAGTTAGTAAGTGCAAAAAAGTCTTCACCATATAACTTGTTTTCTGATTTTTCAGTCATAAAACAAATTAATGGTTGAAAAGTTAGATATAATAGACTAAGGAAAAAAAATAAATGAAATTATAAAATACAATACCAGTGAAGGTTTCTTTATATTTACTAAAGCCGTTATCATCAAGCCAACGTAATACTCTCTCTAATGGCCAAGCAGAGTCTTCAATATCTCCGTCTATTGAGGTAGATCTACTTCGATCATGAGTATGTCCGGTTATGTGAACCCTACGAGTCAACGAAGTCGCACTAGAACTAGGAGGATAATCTAAGGCAGAGCCTCCAAGGTCTGTAACTATTCGATCGGGTGGTGAATGTTTACGTTTGGTGAAGGCTGCGTCGCCTGCAGTCAATGCTAAATCACTAGTCGTTTGCCGAAAAGAATTTGACAATGGCAAATTTTGCTCTGATTGAAAATCGTCGTGATGGTAGCCACCCGAGGAATGCGCGCTAGATACGGAGGATGAACGTGAACGAGCCTCAAGTGTGGAGAAAGGACCGTTGGGTGTTGCATAACTAGAGAATGTTGGCGACGCTAATGGAGAAGGTGGGCGACCATTGGCATACGTTGAATCGTTATAAGGTGAAAGGTTTTCGTCTGAAGGTCTTCTTACACCTACACTCGGTGTTATATTGGTGCCAACTGAAGGACGTCGCTGGTTGTTAACCGACAACATGTTGAAGCATGGAATTCACTTGGTCAGTTTCTTCCGTACTATACAAAATCTTAATTTTTGTGTATCCATATGCCACGATTTGAAGTTCTTACTTCGTAACACAGATTTTTTGGGGGTGCAATAATACGTGATATTTAATTATCGCATTATTGCATATCTCAATTATATATAGATTATAGATGTGATTATTAGCATCATTTGTCAATATGATAGGTCCTAAATAATTCTGAGGTCTTAATTCCATTGAACTACGTAAGAACCAATTATATTAACATATTGAAAAAATTGGATAACAAATGTAGAATTTAAAAACTAATTTTATACATATTTGCAAATTATCAAGATTTTTTAATACTTAAAGACCCTAACACGTAAACAGATTTCTATTTTACTGATATATATGTTGTACGTACTCGGGGTTGGAATCGTCCCAATTTAGAATCAGGCTGCCCAGATGGGAATTACCGTATACAAGACTCCCCAGATATCAGACCCCCCATGTACTAGAGTTTGGAACCGGTTTTATTTTTAATATGTTAAAACCGGTTTTATCATATTAAAACCGGTTTTAACATATGA